CTGACTGCTTCATCAGGGCCCTCATCCTGGTGGCGAGGCTCCTGTTTGTCCGTTCTGCTATTCCTTGCGGCTCGTGAGCGTAGGGTAGGGACACCAGGTGCTCAATCCCCTTCTGCTTGAAGAGCTCTTTGAACTCAGTTAAGAAGAACTCCAAACCCCTGTTTGTCAGGTAGGTTTTTAGCTTCAGTCCAGATTCACGTTCGGCCTGTTTTATCCATGCCACAAAGCACTTGAAGGCTAGGGAGCGGTACTCGGTGTTGATGGCCCACACGTAGCGGGTGCATGCGTCGATAAAGGTAAGCGTGTAGTACTCGCCATCGAGCCCTTCTTGACTGAGAATCATGAAGTCGCTGTAGACTTTATCAAGCAGCTTGTAGCGTTCGTAGCTAGGAGGTAAGTCAGGAAATGGCTTGTGGGCGAGTGATGCAGTTGGGCACACGGTGCACGGTGGATAAACTGATTCTGCTGTGAGAGATCCTCCTCAGGGAAGAAGTAGTGCGTAGTCGTCGAAAACACCGGCCCTGAGGGACTTCTTAAGCGTGGTGTGTGAGGGGTGCCCGAGTCGCTGATGCCTTTTTGGTTCCGCACGATATCCGATAGCCTTCTGATAATATTTGTGCCTTTCTGCTTGGTCGTTTTGCTTCTTTTAAGGTCCCTTGTCGGCGACGGCATCGGTGTCTGCTACGAAGGCTGGAACGGTAAGGTGCTCCAGGACCTCTTTTGGGAATTTGACAATGTCATCCGTGTCGCCGGAATGTACTGCGTCGCCGGCGATGAGTGGTTGCGGGAAGGACGCTGCTTCGGGCCATTCAGATGCGGGAAGTCCTTCTATCGGAACGCGGTGGTAAAGGTACTCGCCGCCGGTGACCGAGATCAGCTGAGGTCCTTGTTCTGGTGGCGGCGCTTCCTCGGTAGGTTCGGGTAGTTCTGCTGCCTTGGTGAAGAACTCGTAGTCATTTCTTCTTCTTCTAACTCCTCTTGCACATGTTCTGGTGTGTCAGGAGCGTATTGGTCCGGAAAAGGAGGCCCGCCCCAGCTAGTGCCGCGCGTTGCCCAGTAGGGATCGAGCTCGGCAATGGGTTTAGGTGGGAGACCTGGAGCTTCTGGGTAACCCCATTCGTTGGGAGTGTAGGCGGTTCCCCAGCCTTCTCCGGGTGTAGTCGGAAATGGTTCAATAATTCCCCACGGCCCGATTGTGGGACCAGGATTTCCCCAGCCGGTTCTCGCTTCCATAGTTGTTGCTCTTCCCCCTGTGTCAGCTTCTGCAGTTGCTGACTTTCTGTTGTTTTCGTCTTCCTCCATTGTTGCAGGTCCAGTGTCCCCTTGATTGGAGGTTGAGGCGGTTGGGACGGCATGCAGGCAGAGAAGTCCATCCGAGGCAGGACACTCAAGGTCCATCTCGTCAGGGTGCGTCCAAGTCGGTGCTTCGGTGGGAGTTGTCTTCAGAAGTAAAGTCCGTTCGGAGTTGCCTGTCGTCCCTTCCGCTGTGAAATTTAAGACGAAGACCCCATCGTCGTCGACAGCCTTGCCGATGGAAGTGTTTTTGTAGAACAATTCGAAGGTTTTGTTTTCGCAGTTGCTCCGAATGTCGACTCCGCACCGCATGAGCTGCGCCGAAGAGAGAAGATTGTATTGCAGATGAGGAACAACCAGCACATCTCGGATATGGATGGTGAATTGAGTGTCTTCGGCCTCAAGGTAAAATTCTCCGGTTTCGTAAGCCTTGAGACGATTGTTGTTGGCGACGGTAATTTCGCACGGTCGCCGCATACGTCTTGAGTCGCTAATGAACTTTGGTGATCCCACCATGTGTTGCCCGCAGCAGCTGTGAAGATACCAGGTGCTGTAATTTTCGCGATTCCGTCAAGCGATCCCAGCTATCTTCGGAGTAATGATGCGGTCGAAGTCCCCGGTGTATGGCAAGAGATCGATGTATCGCCTTGCGGAGATGCTGGGGGGAGACTCCGTGGTTGGTGGAGGCAACTCAAAATCAGGTGGGTTGTTGCTTGGGCGATCAATCCACCTGTGAATGGTGGGATCGTTGTCTGGACTGGGCGTAATGGGGTTAATAGGCGCGATAGGTGGAAATTCTGTGCCGTCGTAGTATCGAATGCCTTTGCGACGGCGCGCCATGCAGCTCATGACTGACCCTTTTTCCTTGTCCTTGACCGTAATGCGCATAGGAGTTTGTGAGGTGCTTGCGACGGAAGGCGTTGACACGGTTGGTGTCACAGCAGGAGAAGCCGAGGGTGCCGAAGGCTGCTGACAGAAGGCCTTACGCTTGTAGCATCGATCGATAGTGTGTCCGGGCTTCTTGCAGTATTTGCATAATGTTCCCTTCTTGTTGTGCTGCTCCCCTTCAGTCGCTCCAGCGTAGAAAACAAACTTCTCCCGCTTGCTGTTTTTCTCATTGTACAGATCAATCTCCTTCTGCTCGGAGAGAAGCGTGGCGCACAGAGCGGACTCGGAGATGATTGTTCGAGCGCGGAGCAATGATTGGCACTTTCGCCAATCGGGTCCAAGGCCTGAAAGAACCATGGAGACGAACATGTCGTCGGGAACAAATCCGCCGCACTTGTGGTCGCGCAGATTGCGACACCGATTGATATACGGTCCCGCTTTCTCCCCTTGTTGCATTTTAACCGATGTAAGTTGGCTGAGTAGGCGACTCATTGTAACGGGATCTGTTGCCATGTATGAGTTGCACAAGTGCTCCCAAGAAGCGTACACGGGTGCCTACTCTGACTTGTAGGAGCGAATGCCAAGCTGCTCGGAAGGGGAGAGGTTTCGGAGAAGAGTGGTGTATGCGAGAAGAGACTCATGGTAGTACTGGTTCTTCTCTTCGATGGTGCCTTCCGTCGGAAACGGTAAGCTTCCATCGTAGTACATCCAGATTTACGCATTGTCGCGAGAAGCTCAAACTCGAACCTCCACGTGTAGAAGTCATTGCCGTCGAAGGGAACTGATTTCTTCAGCTTTGAGGTCTGAACAAACTTTGTTTGCATTGTCGCAATTATTTCTTACTGTGTGCGATGTTGACTGTCTTGCGCAAGAGCTGAAGCTTGACGGTTGTCAAAGGTAAATGACCTCTCGGAGTTGACGCGGCGGTCTAATCCACGGAGAGGGAGTCCAACAACTCCACGTGCGTAGCTTGAGCCATCGATGCTCATAGCTTGATGGCTCTCAAGAGCGTTGATGCGAGCGACCAGCTCAACGAGAGCGACGCTGACGGAGGTCACCGCTGATGGTGCAGTAGGCGTTGCTGGTGGTGGGCCCGGAGAATCAGTAGTGGCTTTTCCTTCGGGAGCCATATAGATGCAGAGTTTGTAATAGTTTGACGAGTAATTTATAAAGAGGTTGTTCTAGAAAGAACAAGAGCTTAAGATGCCTCATAATCCACTCTAGCTCTCATACCATGTTGTTATACGTCAAGGATCGTAGTGGATAGGATAAGTCTGTCAAGTCTGAGAGAAGACAATGAAGTCTTTGTAATGACCTTGTTAATAAGTTGAAAGAGAACAAGATGATTAAACGATAGTGGTAGAGAAGTATAAATAACAATCCTAGCTAGCCATGTACTTAGAGGGGTACATTCCCTTATTAACTGAATTGCATTGCTACAGTAACTACGACTATGGCTATTCTTGACAGTTACCATGTTGCATCGCGTAACTTCCAAGTGCGGTTACTGGGCAATCAAGGGTCACGACCGTTGACTGTCTTCGACTGTTGACCTTCGGGTGATCCTCGACCTTCCGCATGCTCTATATGAGCTACTGCGATACTGATACAGGCACGTAGCTTCGTTATGGAGTGACGCGCGAGTGGAGAGCCTTCCGGGAATGTTACGGTAACCTTTAGGTTATTCCAACAGTCTTGATGGGGTGTCCCGACCAGGGCTAACTTTAGTAAAATGACCCATCTGATGTCAAGACCGGGTCCTGGCTCCTTGTCTGATTGTCAGACGAAAACTGTAACCTTGTCTAGCTTTCCAGACGAATCCTAAATACTTGTCTGAGAAGATATAAAGCTAGCAAGCAATGTACTATCAAACATGAATAAAAACAACCAAGTTATAGTGATGATCAGCTCTGATGGTCCAGTCAGTAGAATATGGAGCAGTGAAAACTGAGGTTTCCAGTTCGAATCTTATAGCCGCTTGTTTCGAGAGTTTTGCCTTCAGTCGAAAAACACTCGATATCTGCAATCTCAGACGAACTGTATAAGGCTGTCTGAGAAATCAGATGAATAGAAAAAGCTTCTCTAAAAAAATCAGACGAAATTAAAAGCATGTCTACGGCATCAGATGAACCAGTAAAAATGTGTTCAGAATCCAGAAATTCAGACCAAAAATTTCTGATGAAGTGAGCCCTGGTCCCGACTGGGTGTTTTGATTGGGTATCTTGATGGGGCTTTTTATGGGTGTTGCGTTTGGGATTTTTTGGCAGTTATACTTTCCTTCTCCCTTTCCTTCTCCACCTCCTCCTTCATTTTTGTCTCTTTCCCTTTTTCCTCTTTATGTCTAGGATCATGTGATTATGCTTATATATAATTGAATACTTTTGGGGTAATTACTCATCAGAGGAGATAGCCACCGCACTAATTGATGGCGCGATGAAGTATTAAGTTTTATGAAGTAATGCGTGATGAAGTATTGAGCCTACTTCACTACCTGAGCAAACTCACGCGTGAAGATTTGTTGGTTCCTCCAGCACATATTGAGTTGCTTTGGTATGGGACGACGACGAAACAAACAGGGTCGTTGCGCTGCCGCGAGCGCAGGACCCGCCTCGATCGCTAACAGCTCTACAGGACGACTTCGCGAAGGTGCTAGTAGCGGTGCTTCGCCAACTATCGCCGATTGGCGGTCGTTTCATCTCGCCGCAAGAGACGGCGATCTGACTCGTGTGCAAAAAATCCTCAACCATAGATTCAGGATCTCGACTCCCGAAATCGGCAATCCCAAAGGCGCCGATATATTAGAAAACTCGGAATGGACAATGTTCACAGAGGGAACGTCATGGTTTCCTTTCGGTAGCACAGTTACAGCTGAGATAACGGATTTCGTCAACTCTCGTGATCCGTCCGGCAAGTCCGCGCTTCACGAGGCGTGCGCGCACGGGCACGCGGAAATCGCCCGCCTGCTGCTCTCCCTGGGCGCCCTCCCCGCCGCGCGGAAGGCCAACGGCTTCACCCTGCTACTCTGCGCGGCTGCGGGGGGCCACGCGGAGTGCGCGAGGCTCCTGTTAGCACACATTCGCGCGGGGGGGAGCGCGGAGGAAATCGGCGCTGAAAGCGCGGAGAAAGCCGTGGAGGGAAGCGCGGGAGGCCGGCGCGCGAGCGCGTGGCGGGCAGCGGACAGGTGCGGGGAGAACGCGCTTCACCTGGCGGCTCGAGCAGGGGCAGAGGAAGTGGTGGCAATTCTGGTGGATGCTGCTGAGGGAGAAGACCAGGATATAGGTGGAGAGGGAAATGGTAGAGAAGGAGATGTGGGCAGTGCAGGCGCGTCTGCCTCTCCCGCAACAATTTCCTCTTTGGTTTCTTCCCCCATGACAGTTTCTGCATCGGTTTCGTCTCCTAAATGCTCTGCTGATTCGCCCTTGGTGGACAGTGAGCGCCAATCACATCTGTTTGTGAATGCGCGCACTCGCAATGGCCGCACGCCCCTGCATTCCGCCTGCCTGCATGGCCACGTGGCGGTTTGTGAGTTGCTGCTGATGCATGGGGCCAATCCTAAGGCGCGGGACTCCTCTGGTTCGGAGCCTCTCCATGAAGCAGCTGCAGGGGGACACGTGGCAGTCATTCATTTGCTCGCTGGTGGCGCCACAGCACCAGGTCAAGCCAATCCCAGCACTCAGACAAGCACCAACACTAACACCCAAACACTTTCTAATGCCCAGCTTTCCAGGCCGATTGGGCTTGGTGATTTTGGCAGTAAGCTACCTCCAGCTTATTCAAACAGTTGGGATGCATCGGCAGCCATGGCTTTAGTTGATGTCAACACTAGGGATGCATCTGGGGCAATGCCTTTTCACCGTGCTGCTGCAGCTGGCCATGTGGATGCCATGCATGCACTGTCTTTGCATGGGGCTGACGTGGATCTGTTGGATAACTCTGGCACCACTCCTTTGTACTGGGCGGCGAGTAGAGGACATGTGGCAGCTGTTGAATGGCTGTTGGATAAGCAAGAGCAGGAACACCAGAAGGGGGTGCAGGAGGGAACAGCAACAAGAGGAGGAGATGATAATACGCGCAGCAAGGATAGAGGAAGGAGCAAGCGTAGTGCACTCCATGTTGCTGTGGGGTGGGGGCATGTGGGAGTGTGTTCACTTCTTCTAGCTTCTCAGAGATTTGATCCAATGCAGCAGGATTCGAATGGGCTAACGGCATTAGACGTAGCTACTCAGTTGCGGGATGAAGGAAAAAGAGTAGAGATCCTAAATATGATGAGCAGTGAGTCGCTTGGTGCCTAGGCCATAACTGTACAATAACCTAGTGAGTTAATAGAGGATACATCACCACAACCGCTTCTTTCACAGCCAGTTCTTTTCCCCTTGTTTCCAACCAAATTTCGATGTTGGTTTTGTGGAAATCGCGATGCGAAAGCTGACGGGAAGAGCTGCTCCTGTTGGCGGATCTCGTCCACAAGTTGAGTCCATTGATATCTGTGGGTGGAATATCGTCTCCATTCGATCCAATTATCCAACCAGCCCTCCTCCACGCGTACAGTACTGTATGTCTTTGCTGCCATGACTCATGAATTGTCTGTGGTGCACCTGCAGCTGCATTTCATTGTCCGACGCTCAACGTGGCCTAGTTCAACACCACATTTGTTTTCCGTGACCGCTGAACTTCACCACGGATTTTATGCCAGATGCATGTGATCACCACCAGTGTGCGATAGCACACACCACTACCTTATCTGGACACCACCGCTCTACTGGTATTGTTCACGCGGTTAATCTGAATCAACAGAAGGTCTGAAAGATTACGCGTCGAACCGTACAGCAAAACATCCTCACAGAAGGTTACTGTGTGGTCCCTCCCCCCGCCTAACCCCACCGTTTCGATTCGTCTCTACACTACAGTAAAGAAGCGAGCCAAAATCGAGCCACAACCAAGCCAAATGTAAACACCCTAGGCTCCATTTTTTCCAAGGACGTTTTCCAAGAAACCGACAAGACTGCACTCATTGGCTGGCGCCATTCAGGAATTCGTGTTTTCCAATTTCTCTTTACAAATGGGCAATGCCCTTCGAATTCGACAAACCTCTGTAGTCCCTAGTCATCAAGCCAATGTGGGCTGTCTCGTTGCCAGTCCACACTGAACGAACAACCGCTTATACCCTAAAAATTGACCCCTGAACTAGTCATACGACCTACAGAAACGCGCGGACACTGGTTCAAGAATTTCGAACAAAACAATCGCCCCCTCATTGAACATCTGCTCCAGCCTCCTCAAACCTCCCCGAACACCTCTCACTTCACTGGAGCTTGCTTGCACTCTGGATGGCTTGAAATTGCCCCCCAAAGCTGCGCCGCCATCAAATTGGTTGACTGGTTCACCACATCACCTCCCTTTCCGCCAGCTGTTTCAAAACCGTTTTTCATGCATCAACCCTCCGTCGCTCTCTCTCGCATAGTGGCGTCTATGGGTACGTTACTTCGTAAGTGACGAGCTCCCTGGACTGTGGCTGCCGGCTAGGCCTTTAATCCAGTTGTAGCGAACTGAATCATCAATTCGCGGCACTGTAGTGTTGATTCCGTAGCTTCAATTTTGTTTTCTTGGATGGGCTTGGCTTCTCGGACCCGCAAACCGTCTTGACTGATATTGCGACAATATAAAGTCTGCGAGCAATGGGGTTCGGAAGGCCGTCTGCCGCAATGGCTGCACGACTGCAGGTGGACATTCAGAACGTCGACGCGCGCCAGGAGAAAACCGCCCTGACCAACGCCGACGCCGCGTTAGCGGTTCGAACGAAAGCTGCTCCTAGTTCCGCGGGAGGAACCGCTTTCTTCTCCGCCTACTCCTTCTCAAAACTACCCCCGATGGTCGAAATCGACCCTGCTAAAAGCAACAGTAGCGGCAGCGGCGGCAGCGGCCGCAGAGGAGAGGAAGTGGAGGTAGAGGAGGGGCAGATTGCGTCAGCGGTTTTATCGGAAGGGTTAAGCAAGGGCATGGAGGCCTTCGACGAAGAGCTTCATAACTTTCTCAGTTACGAGGGCGAGGATGGCGGGGGGGGAGGGGACGTGCGAGCCGCGGTGGCGGCAGCGGAGGTTGTGGTCGCATCGCCTTCGTCTGCGGCGATGCCGAAGGTCCCTGACTCGCCGGACTGTGCCAAGTACATCGGGTTCAAGGACAGACGCGGCGGGTCGCGGTCATCGAAGTCAATGCGGTCAACAAGCTCAACGCGGTCATCGATTAGCCCAGCTCAGCTTGACGTGAGGTGCGTCTCAAAACAAACTGAAATAGTATATGCGACCTGGCCATACGGTTCAGCTTGCCATGAGGGTCGATAACACCGTCCTTGAACGAACGCTAAGACAAAAAACATCCACGCACCTCGGAAGTGAGAGCTGAGAGCAAGGATAGGTTGCGCGGTCGCAGATATTTCGACGACGTAAAAGAGGCTAACATACAGGTGACTCCGCGGCAGCACTCGTGAGTTCGCGGATTGGTAACCCTTGTGCTGATTCTTGCGTCCCTCTTCTTTCGTCCTTCCGGCATTTCCAAAGCAGGCAAGCGGCAGCGAAGGCCTCTGCCGCGGTCGCTAACCCTGTTATCGCACAGCAGGTGCAGGCTACGCTTAATAACGAGGCGCCTACTAACGCGGCCAGCGAGCAACAGCAGACCCAACAGCAGCAGCAGCAGCAGGAGGCGGAGGCGCAGAACCAACAGCAAGCGCTGCGCCGCAGGCTGGGACCTACCGCGCTGAAGGCTTTCCCCGCGCCCGACGCGCTTCTTACCGCCTCTCCCAGCGGCGGAAAGAAGAAGGTCTCCGCGTTCCGCCAAGCCGCCATCGCTCGCCACCTCCAATCCGTCTCCGCGGTAGGCGCGGGCGGCTCGCCGAACAGTAACCAGGTTACCTTATCCGCCAATTCCGGCACGTTAAGCCCTGCGGTTTTAAGGGGGGATTCCCCCTCAAAGACAGCGGTCGCTAATCACCGTTTGGCCGCCGCCATTGCCGCAGCTTCCCGCGGAGCAAGCGGAACTGGTTCCTCCCCATCTCCCGCCCAGATTGCGGCGGCGGCGAGCGCCGCGACGCGGCTAGCGAAGCGCCATTCCGCCGATCCGGAGCGTCCCAGCGCCGAGTCCGCCGGAGCGAACAGTGCGGGGAGCGCGGGGGGGAGCACCGGAGGAAGCGGAGGCAGTAACAGCGCGGGAAAGGGTGTGCCATGGGAATTGACGCGGTCGAAAACAGGCGACTCGGGTGGGTCAGCGCATGGCGAAGAAGGCACACGCGAAGTGCCGGCGCGGAGTGCGGGGATGGGAATGGGGTTGGGGATGGGGATGGGGTTGGGAGTGGGGATGGGGATGGCGGAAGCCGAGGAGGGCGGAGCGGCGATCGCGCGGCGGAAGACCGCGGATCATTTGCACACCATGCGGAACGCGCGCGAAGCGGAGAGAAGAATGCAATCGCAGCTCTTCCCCTCGTCTCGCTCCACGATGACTGGCGCAATTACCGGCGGCGACATGCCCGTTTCGCTGGAAGAGCTGTGCAGCGGCGGGATTGAGGAACTAAGCGACACGGACGAGTTTGGTGCCAGCGACTCGGACGGAGAGGATCTTATCGAGGGGCTGATTCTCCCGTTAGAAGGTCACGCGGCACCGGAGCAGGATATGCGAGGGATGACTCGAACGAGATCCCTCGGGAATCTCGAATCGGCTCTCGAAGCGGCTGTTGCGGCGGATCTGGCCGTTGTACCATTTGATGCGACGAAGACAAGCAGCAGCGGCGGCGGCTCGGGGGAGCTGACTCGTACGGTGGGAGCGGGAGTGGCTAACGCGAGGGGAGGGCAGCACGAGTTTAACACGTTAAAGAGCGCGACGCGGAGAGCTTCGATTGCTGGGAGCGCTGTAACGGCAGCTTCGACGGCAGTAGCGGCGCGAGGGAAGGGCTGGGGAGTCGGCCTGCTGCACGCGAGAGAGGCTCTATGTTGGAGGTCGCGTGAGTTAGAAGCAAACGGTGGTGGGGCAATTGATATGCCCCCAACCCACCGAATGTGTTTCGGTGCTCACCGCTTGAGAGAGCTGCAGGTTTCACGAAGTGTGTGGGTTGACTTCGGAAGACCCACTCAATTGGTGCCACATGGCAACACAAGAAGGATCGAGACTAAGGAAGAATTCGGTTCGGTGAAATTCGGGTGCCGAATTTCACCCCTTCGAATTGTTACGCGAATGTTCTCGATGCATCTCGTATGTTACATGCGCGACTCGATGTTTTGAAGCTATATATTGTGATTGCTTTGTATGCATGATATACTGAAAATCAGAGTTTTCTATACACAGTTCAACTCGACACAAAATCCAGAGACTTTCTATCCTTCAATCTTAGAGCACTACCTAGCACGTTGAAAGCCGTATCTCAGCAGATACTTGGGCGAATTACGTGTTCTACGGCTCCTTGGAAAGCCAAGAGTGTGCTCTACTGCTTAGAACAATTCCTAGTTCCTGCCAACTAGAGGACACGCCTCTACATCACTCTAGGCGGCTCCGGTTCGTTCGACGTCGATCGACTTGCTAATAAGCGAGTTGACTTTGGCGGCGCGCAAGGTTTGGGGACACAAACGGGGGGTGTGACTAGAATGAAGGAGGGGGGAAACGTGGTGAAGTCGGGAGAGTTGGACCATTTCCCGAGCAATCAAGCGTCAGAAGCAGCTGTTTCTCCAGGTGGGGCCTCTGTTGGTTCAGGTGGTGGCGACAGTGGTCGTCTCTCGTCCCTTTCTGCTTCCGCTTCGGGCGGTTCGGCTTTGGAACTTTACTCCCCGTATCCGGCTGGTGGTAACCCTAACGATATCGCCACGGGCCTGGCTTCCTCTGGCGGCAGCGTTGGCACCGATGTGTTCAATGGTGGTTTGGATCCGTACGGTATAGCTGCCGTACCTCTTCCCGTGCCTACGCTCTCGCCTCGGCCATCCAGCTCTGGCGGGGACAGGCCTGCTGGTGCTGGGAGGAGGGACGGCGGGATGGGGGGAGGGGGAGTCGGAGGGCTGGAAGCGTCTGGGTTAGGCGCAGTGGGTGGCGCGCAGGTTGTTGTCAAGGCGGAAAGGGGTGCGGATGGGAGGGCAAACGCGGGGAAAATGGTGCTGAGGTGTCCTGTGACTGGAGCGGAAGTGAATATGGGCGATGCGGAAAACAAGGGGCACAGCCACGGATCCCCGCACAAGGGGCACAGCCACGGATCCCCGCATGCGGGCGGAAGTGGAAGCATGAGCGGAAGCAGTGGGCGCAGCAGCGGGAGTCTCGGGGGAGTGATTGGGGGTGCTGCAAAGGAGGGGAGGAGTGGGGAGGTGGGAGCGGAGAAACGAGGGGGCGTGGGGGGAGGAGGAGCGGAGTTGATGGGGAAAGTGATAGCAGCGGTGGTTGAAGCACACTCGCTTTTCTTCACTGATGAGGTGCGTCCGTGTAGCAATAAGACATCACAGAAACAACAATACCATAACAACAATACAATGAAATGAAGTATATCACCTGCATTACCCACTTGATGGATATTAAGAAAAATCCTTCTCTCGTTGCTCCTGTGCTATTTATTTCCAGACACCATTCTCTCCACACAGACTCCCAGACTCCCAACGGCACCAAAACATGCAATCACCTTCTTGCCACCTTTCTCGACATCACCCAATTCCTGATGGGCGTCACTGCATCTCACACACCCTCTCCCCTCCACACTCCCTCTTCCTATCCCCCACGCAGACTCCCAACGGCACCAAGATATGCGACCACCTTCTCGCCGCCATTCTCGACATCACTCAGTCCCCAATGGCCATCATTGCCTCTGTGCTGCATCGCCACGACGGGTCGCCGTACCTCACGGTGTGTTCAAGGGCAAGTGAGTGTGCGCCCATCCGTGAGTGATCGCTGGATCGAGGGTATGAGGGAGTGAATGATTGCCTCTGTGCTGCACTGCCACGACGGGTCGCCGTACCTCAAGGTGTGTTTAGGGACATAAATGTGTGCATGTTGGTCAGTGAGTAATGGAATGAATGCTGGTCAGGTGAGGGAGTGAATGATCGCCTATGTGCTGCACCGCCACGATGGGTCGCCGTACCTCAAGGTGGGACATATCCCGCTCTAGGCCACTCCATTCCCCACTTCTCCGCCCATCCCTACCCATCTCTAACCCTCTCCACCCATCTCTAACCCTCTCCACCCCTCTCTACCCCTCCCCACCCAACCAGATCCACGCGGCCACCAACGTGGCATGGACGCCAGAGCTGCACCAGTGGTGCCTCGCCAACTATGCCAGCGGGCTGGTCTTCACCAACATGAACTCCCTCTTCGGAGCATCCATCACCTCCTTTTCATCCCCTCTTCTCTTGGCCCCTCCAATTCCCTGCTCTCTACCCATCGCAACCCCTCTCTAACAATCACTACCCTCTCGATCCGTCCCCACCGCTCTCCACTCCCCCCCCCCCCAACCAGACCCACGCGGCCACCAACGTGGCATGGACGCCAGAGCTGCACCAGTGGTGTCTTGCCAACTACGCCAGCGGGCTTGTATTCACCAACATGAACTCCCTCTTCGGAGCATCCATCGCCTCCCGCAAGCATTACATATCCAACCATCCGCTCTCCGACCCTTCTGCGCCTACCTCCCTTTATGTTTCTTGTAAAATGTGGTTTTTTTAGACGTCTCAAAAACTCTCCACCCGACCATAAACTCCTTCCCCTCTGTGCCTACCTCCCTTTATGTCTCTCCTCCCTCCCTATTCCGACTCCCTCTCTCCCTTTCCTCCTCCCCTACTTGTTTTCCTCCTTCCTTTCAACAGGCACCGAACTCGTGGGTGTGTGGATGGTAGCGAACAAGGAGGGAGGCTATAAAGAGGATATAGTGCATGCAACAGAGGCGCTATCAGCCACGCTGGGGCAAATCCTGTTTGGAATCAGCAAGAGGAAGCGAAGAATGGAGGCAAAGAGCAAGCTCTATGAGGGGCGTGTGCCGGTGAGTGTCCCTCTAGGTGTTGGGCTAGTGTTTTTTATTAACCTGGTTTGGAAAAGCGCTGCATCAGTTGCTGATGGTTAACTTAGAGCCCTCTTTTGGGATACGTGACTCTCTGTTTCTTCTCGCCTTTGCTCCCATCTACACCCAATCCCCGTTACAGGCTGCTGGGGAATCCCGTTTGGTGGTGGACGCCTTGGGAACAGTCACAGCGTGCAACAGAGAGGCGAGCAGGCTTTTCTGCATGCCCATACTCTTCTTTTCTCCCTTATCCTCGTTACAGGCTGCTGGGGAATCCCGTTTGGTGGTGGACGCCTTGGGAACAGTCATAGCGTGCAACAGAGAGGCGAGCAAGCTTTTCTGCATGCCCATACTCGCACCGCCGCCAACAGCAGCACCAGCAGCACCAGCAACAGCACCACCAGCAGCAGCTGCGGCGGCAATGGCAGCAGCAGCTGCTGCTGCTGACGAGGCTGTTTACCCCCCGGCAGAGCAGATTGCGTTCCCTGATCTGTTTTACAACATCAACTGCAGAGAGGACTTCATGTTGCTCGGTACGTTCCGGTGCTGCTTGATAAATTGCGGTGCTGCTCGGTACGTTGCGGTGCTGTTCAGTATGCTGCTTCTAGTGACGAGGCTGTGTATCCTCTGGCAGAGGAAATTGCTTTCCCTGATCTGTTTTACAAGATCAACTGCAGAGAGGACTTCATGTTGCTCGGTACGTTCCGGTGCTGCACGGTATGTTGCGATGCGGCTCGGTACATTGCGGCGCTGTGCTCTCGTGCCCCTCTCCTCCCTATTCTGCCTGAATTGATACTGGTCGTGGACGATGTCACATCTGTCCAACTTCTGCTGGTCCGTGGCATGACATCACACCTCCCTGCTTTTGAGAGTTCTCAAGAGAGAATTCTCAAAAGCGACTCGAAAGAGAATTCTCAAAAGTGCCTGAACTGATACCGGTCGTGGTCGATGGCGTATCTGTACAACTTCTGCGCATCACCGAACAAAAGCTTCTTGCTGGCACTCACTCTCCCAACTCCCTGCACCCTCGCTACCAGTGCACCAGAAAGACCCTCTGCACGATATCACCAAGACCCTGCCACCCTTCCCCAGCCCGTTCCCCTTCAGCTCTCGTGCACATCGCCAAGCAGAATCTCCCCACTGGCGGTGCTTTTATTGCCTGTGTGATAAAAGTGATATTTGCTTTTGAGTCGACTCAAAAGGAGACGTCTCAAAATATCACTTTTCTCTCGTGCGCATCACCAAGCAGAATCTCCCCACTGGCGCTGCTTTATCGCCTTGGTGTGGGAAACGAAACACTCCTCATTCCACTCCACCCCACCACTCTCAGGAGTCGATGCTCATCTGGACAAGTCCTGCTGGTCCATGGCACGCCAGCGCACTGGCAAGACCATTCTTGCTCTCGTGCGCATCACCAAGCAGAATCTCCCCACGGGTGCTGCTTTCATCTGCTCAGTGTGGGAGATGATTCCTCCCGAGTATGCCAAGCTGCTCCGAGCAAACCAGTGATTCTTGAGTCAACTCATTGTGGGGGCTTTTGAGGTGCCTCAAAAGTCTTCTTGCATCTACTCAGTGGAGGAAGTCATTATCTTGCGGGTGCTGCTTTCATTTGCTCAGTATGGGAGATGATTCCTCCCGAGTATGCCAAGCTGCTCCGAGGAACCCAGTGATTTCCGAGTGTACTCACAGATGGCACCCCCTCCCCAGTGGTGCTGCTTTCAATGCCTCTGTTGGTGGGAGATTATGTATGCAAATCTGCTCCGAGCAACCCCATTTCGAGTATCACAAAAATCGCCTCACCTCCCTCCTGGTGCTGCTTTTATGGCCTCTGTGGGAAATTATTCAGCCCGAATACCACATAGAGGGTTCTGTTTTTTATTGTTTTCTTCCTGGTGGGCTCGAGTTGCTAGGTGGGGGGGTAACAGCCCTATCTGATTACTTTGACTGTTGGCCCAGTGCTGGGGTTGTCCTAACTGCCGCTGGCTGGAGCTTTTGTTTTTGGAGCCACAATAATCTGCTGTTCGTGCTCTTTTCTTCTTGTCTAGTACACCTAAGCCACTGTATATTACAGGGATTTGTGGGCGGGAGGCACGGCAGTCCTCTTGGGGCCATAATATACAATATACTGATTGGATGACTGGCATGGCAAGTTATATTACCATACCAGACTGGGTTGGGTAGCTGGTGTGCCTGATCGAGTGTGCGGAGAATGCACAAGTATGGGTGTAAGTACATTGTTCTGTACATTGGCAGAAGAAAAAACAATTATTTAGGCGCCTCAAGAACAGAATCGTCAGCCCTGCTCTGTTGGGAAATTCAACTCAACAATAACTCGTGGAGGAACCGAGCTCTAGGTTCTTATCTTATTGGAAGGACCTTCCGCGATGCTAATAGAACCTTCAGTCGTGCTGAGAGGACCTTTCACACTCCTCAAGTACCGGTACCGTAATCTTCTTGAGTGGGATGGAGAGGTGCCGTCGTAAAAGTGTTCCATTCCGAGACATCTACTTGCCATCCCACTCCCTCCCCTCGCCATTCCCACCTTTCTCCAGCCCTCTGGTCTCCCCAATCCTACCCTCGTCACCTACTAATCCACCCTTTGTCCCCCCTCCCCTCCTCTCTCCCCCTCCCCTTTCTTGCAGATCCCACCTTTGTACAATTTCCTCGTCTGTGCATCCAAGCAACTGAATCAAGCACACGGCCTCCCTTTTGAGGCGCCTCCGAAGCCCGACGGCTGATGAGTTTCCGGCATGAACGGTGCAAGCTCGACTTTGAACCTCTTCTCGAATTCTTTGTCCGAGCATCCAAGCAACTGAATCAAGCACACCGCCTCCCTTCCCTGCTGCCGATTCACACCTTTTCGCCACCCCACAGCCCCTCTTCCTCCCACTGCAGCATACTTGTCTTGCATAGGATCCACTGCAGCATACTTGTCTTGCATAGGATCCACTGCAGCATACTTGTCTTGCATAGGATCCACTGCACTTCCATCCTCATGCTTCTTCCCCACCCCAACCTCATGCTTCCTCACCCCATACTCATCTTTCTCTCCCTCATCCTTCCCATCTTCTGCTTCCTCCTCTTCTGCCCTCCTCCTGCTACCAACGCCTTCCACGCTCCCTCCCCCTTCTCTCCCTTCTCCCCCTTCTCCCCTTTCTCCCCCTTCTCCACTATTCTTCGGCAGAGCTACCTCATGTGGTACCAACACATAGCCCTTGCTCAGCAGCGCCACATGTCGCGGTCTGATTCGCCGATCCAAGCTGTACCCAAGGAAAAAAGGTAACGCAAGCACCTCTCTTATAGACAGCCCCATGTCCCGCTTTAAGTATTCCACCTTGTGCCTCGTGTTCCTCTCCCAACAGTAGGAAATAGATGTTGGAAACTTGACCACCAGCCTCGCCACCATCTCACGAGCTGTGGTGGCACCAGCAATGCTCTTAAAGCCCAGCTTTCCTCCTGCCCGTGCTTCTGCCTTTGCTTCTGCCCTTGCTTCAGCCCAGCTCTTTGAACCGGCTTGACAGCCGCCACCCATCCCCCCCTGCTCCACACACTCTCTTGCATCATTCTTCAATGATTCTTCCCCCAGCCTTCGCGTTTCGCTTCCTACTTCCCCACTGCTCTCCAGCGCCTCTTCCACTTCTCGCACAAGCTCTCTGAAATTTCTTCTGAGATTCTCCTCACGAGCCGTCAGAATAAAAGGATACCTTGCCGCTGCAAGCACAGCGTTCTCTCGACCAATCATATCGCCCAACAATGCCACCTTGCCTTGCACGTTCTCTAAAGAATGATTCAGAACCGACGGGTGGCTTCTCACCACGCTCCCTGCTGCCTTCTCCCCCACCATCTCTTTAAAAAACTGGAGCTTAGCTAAGAGATTCTGCAAGGTGTGGTGGACGAGAGTGGGAGCATGGCGGAGAATGGGGAGGGCAATGGAGTGGCTGCCAGGGGGAGCGAAGGACTGGAGGAGGCTGAGGTTGGCAGAAATGCGCTCGGGAGTCGTGAGGGCGATACCTGGATACTGCACCAGGAGTTTTATCAGGTGATTCTTGTCCTTGTGTTGCGTATTCAGGTGTTGCCTTCAGGTGCCCGCTGCTGACGTTTCCTCCTTCGTATCCATTGGTAAAATACGCTGATAGATGCTCGAGGCGACTTCTTATGTTTTCCTCCCTCGCGCATAAAATATTCGGAGCTCTCTCTATAATCACTCCGAGCTTGTCCACAGGAAACCCTGCTCTCTCCACCAGTATGTCCAGGTTCGTTGAACGAGCTCGCATGCTAATGAGATATGGAGACGTTCGGAGCACCGAACCTAGCTTGGTACGGCGTACACCCCGAGCCAAGAGGAAGTCAAGCATTTCCTGAGTATGGGGAAGAGTGAGCCGGAGCCAGGAAGAGCTTTTCATGGTGATGGCTGAGATGTCAGCACGGGATACGCCATACGACTGTAGAAGCTGGACCCGTGGCAGCAAGTCATTGGTGCGATCGGAGCGGAGGAGTTGGGGGTTGGCGGCGAGAAGGGAAGCGACAGTGGAAGGGGAGGAGATGCCGAGGTGCGAGGAGAAGAAGCGGTAGAGGGAGAGGAGGGAGGAGAGAGATACAGCCCGCCGGCTGTTGAGTGGAGGAGGGGGTGTGGGAGGAGGTGTGTTGGGTGGTCCGTCCGCTTCTGCTTCTGCTTCGTCTGCTGCTTCTTCCCCCTCCTTCCCTCCCCCATCCTCTTCCTCCTCACCTTCTAAGCCCTCTGTTTCCTCATCCCCATACCCCACCTCTTCCTATTCTTGTCGTCCCTTAGCCTCCTCCTCATCCGTAATCCTTCCGTTTGCAGACCCCTCCTCCCCTCCTCCACCAATCTCTCAACACTCCAGCAATTACTGCAACTGCCTCCTCCTCTGAATCCTTGCACCCTTCCCTCTCTCCACGCTTCCACCCGCCTTCCGCAACCTTTCCCTCCACTTCCCTTGTTCTTGCCACTCTACTCTCGCTCTTCTCTGACTTTCTTCCCTCACTCTCTCCCTCATCTCTTCCATCTGCACGCAACCGAGCCTCCGTCCCAGCCACTACTACTGGCTCGTCATCGAAGCTCGGATCGAATCGCACGGTCGCGCTCTCCGCCTCGTGAACCACTCCTGCTCTGGCCAACGAACCAACGGAACAGCTTATATTGAAGCTCCGGTCAGGGGTTCGAATCCTGGTGAATGCGTTTTCCGCAGGTTGGTGTCGACTTAGCCCAAACAGGTAGAGGCTCGGCGGGGAAGGAATAACAGCTGTTGATGCCATTCCAGATATCTCTGAAAATGACTTGGAACGAGGCGAAGAAGACTGCGTCATGTATCTTAGCGTAAAACCTAATCTGTCAATCCACGCGATGGATGGCCGTGACCTAGATGCAGGATATGCCATGTCGAATAGCCGATGGATGTGACCAAAAGGATGAAAAAAGGATCAGCGAGTTATTCCGCAGTGGTGCTTGTCCGATTACGGATTATCGGTAGCGATTTTCTAATCGTTGCAGTGACTGACGGAAAACTAACGAGCTAAAGAAGCGTTTCGTATCCATGGATACTCCAGTTCGCAGGCTGGAATAATGTCGCTCACTTTGAACAGATCCTAGAAGAGACAACAGAGAAAGTGTCCTGGTTTAGAAAATGGCAGCAGCGAATGGAACAGGACAGGAAGGATGCTTTTCTGGTCTCATATGGCGTTCACAGGATTGAGGCGACACTCGCTGCTGGCACTGGGAATACCGAGCTGTGATAAAACTGGCTGGCAATTCAATTCATACACCTTTTACGAGTGCATTCCGACGCTGAAATGTCGCAAGCGGAGTTTCGTGTGCCTTCGTTAGTCCAATCGTATGCAAACGACGACAGGTTGCTACACTTGCGATGAGTCGTGTGCGATCGTCTGTCAAATCCGTTCGTGCCGTTTCAAATTCGTACGCGTTTACTGAAATTGACGAAGCAAGCACATTCCCGAGATAGTTTCAACTTGGGTGGGATCTAGAGTGTATGTGTTCCATAACAATCCCATTCCCTTCATTCACCATTCCAACATTTCAATTATTTCCCAATCACCTCCTCCCCTTCCCAACTGCTCTTCTACTCCATTTGAGTTTCTGGCTAAAATGCTTCAATAAAATCATCTAGGGACGAGTTTCCGGCATGAATGGTGCGAGCTCGACTTTGAATCTCTGTTCAAATTCCTTGTCTGTGCATCCAAGCAACTGAATCAAACACACCACTGCCTTCCTTCCCTGCTGCTGATTCACGCCTTCTTGGACCACAGCCCCTATTCTCCCCAACGCAGCATTAGCATAGCAGTCTTGGGTAGAATCCAATGCATTTCCATACTCATGCTTCTTCCTCACCCAAACTCATCACTCTCACCCTCATCCTCCCCATCTTCTGCTTCCTTCTCTTCTGCCCTCCTCCTGCTATCAACTTCCAAGTTCCCTCCCACTTCTCCCCTTTCTCCCCTATTTTTCGGCAGAGCTACCTCATGTGGCACCAACACATAGCCCTTGCTCAGCAGCACCAGATGTCGTGGCCTGATTCGCCGATCCAAGCTGTACCCAAGGAAGTAAGGGAACGCAAGGACCTCCGTTATAGGGAGCCCCATGTCCCGCTTTAAGTATTCCACCTTGTGCCTTGTGTTCCTCTCCCAACTGAAGCAGATAATCGCTGGATACTTCAGCACCAAATTCACCACCATCTCATGAGCTATCGTGGCACCAGCAATGCTCTTGTATGCTCGTCCACTCCCTCCTATTGCTAGCTTCCGTGCACCTTCCTGGGGCATATGACTCCCATTCTCCTCTCCTCCACTCTCTTCCATTGCCGCTTCCACTTCTCGCACGAGTTCTTCGAAACCTTTCTTAAGGTTCTCACAACTAGATGACAGCAGCCTAGGAAACCGAGCCACAGCAAGCACAGCGTTCTCTTGCCCAATCAGATCGCCCAACAACGCCACCTTGCCTTGCAGGTTCTCTACCGATAGAATAAGAATCGACGAATAGCTGCGCACCACGCTCCCTGCTGCCTTCTTCCCCACCACTTCCTCTAAGTACTGGAGCTTAGATAAAAGAGTCTGAGAGCTGAGGTGGACGAGAGAGGGGGCCTGGCTGAGAATCGGGACGGCAACAGAGGGGCTGTCAGGGGGAGTGAAGGACTGGAGGAGACAGAGGATTTCAGGGATGCACTCGTGAGGATTGAGGAGGATACCTGGGTACCTCACCAGGAGTTTTTTCAGGTGATTTCTGTCATTGTCCTGCCTATTCGGGTGTTGCCTCAGGTGCTCGCTGCTGACGTTTCCTCCTTCGCATCCATTGGTAAAATACGCTGATAGTAGCTCGAGGCGACTTCTTATGACTTCCTCACGCAAATATAGAATATCTGGCCCTCTTGCTATAATCACAGGCAGCTTGTCCACAGGAACCCCTGCTCTTTCCACCAAAATGTCCAGGTTCGTTGAACGAGCTCGTGCACGAATGAGATATGGAGACTTCCGAAGTACCGCACCTAGCTTGGTTCGGAGTATGCCCCGAGCCAAGAGAAAGTCAAGAATATCCCGAACCTGGGGAAGGGAGGCTCGGAGCCAGGAGCATTGTTTCATCGTGATGTCTGAGATGTCAGCACGGGATACGCCATACGACTGGAGAAGCTGGACACGTGGCAGCAAGTCATTGGTGGGATCAGACCGAAGGAGCGAAGGGTAAGAGACGAGGAGGGAAGTGACAGTGGAAGGGGAGGAGATACCGAGGTGGGAGGAGAAGAAGCGGTAGAGGGAGAGGAGGGAGGAGGGAGATACGACCCGCCGCCTGTTGCGTGGAGGAGGAGGACGTGTGGGGGGAGATGTGGTGGGTAATCCGACCTCCTCACTTGCTTCTGCTGCTGCGTCTCCCCCCTCGTTCCCTTCCCCATCCTCTTCCTCATCTACTTCTGAGCCCTCTGTTTCCTCATCCCAATATTCCTCCTCCTCCTCTTGTCGTCCCTTGGCCTTTTTCTCCTCATCCGTAATCCTTTCGTTAGTAGACCCCTCATGCTCCTCCTCTGTCACAATCTGGGGCCCGAATCTCTCTCTCAACACTCCAGCAATCACAGCCACTGCCTTTTCCTCCTCCTCTGTCTCCTTGCATCCTCCCCTCTCTCCACGCTTCCACCCGCCTCCATCAACCTTTCCCTGCACTTCCCTTGCTCCAGTCTCTCGTCTCGTACCCGCTCCTCTGCCATCCAACTCCTCTCTTCCCCCTCTACTCTCGCCCTTCTCTGACTCTCTTCCCTCACTTTCTCCCTCCTCTCTTCCATCTGCACTCAACCGAGCCTCCGTCCCAGCCGCTAGTACTGGCTTGCCATCGAAGCGCGGATCGAATCGCACGTTCGCGCTTTCCGCGTCTGGAAGATTTTCAGGCGAATCAGCAGTTACGTCGCATCGCACGCTCGCGCTTTCCGCCTTGAGAGCCTTGGCTGCTCTGGCCAACGATCCAGCGGGACAGCGTAAAGTGAAGCTCCGGTCAGGAGTTATCCTGGTGAATGCGTTTTCCGCAGGTTGGTGTCGGTTTTGTCCAAACCGGTAGAGTCTCGGCATGGAAGGAATAGGAGCTGTGGGTGCCAGTCCTGGTTTTCCTGAAAACGACTTATCACGAAGCGTAGAAGACTGTCTGATGTATCTTAATGAAGATCTTAATCTGTTAATCCACGCGATGGGTGGCCATGACGTTCTGGTACGGTACGCCATATCGAATAGCCGACGGATGTAACGAAGCGGATGAAATACATGAACTACTTACACGCCTGTTGTTGTCCTAAGTCGAACCATCAGTAGTGATTCTCGGATTCCCGAATCTTCGCAGTGACTGCCAGAAACTAACGCTTTTCCGAATCCTTTCGTCACCATGCATACTCCCGTTGCTGGCATTCAATCGTCTCGCTCTCTCGCAGCAGATTTTAGAATTCAAACCGAGGAAAAACTAACATAGAAAGTGCTTCCCGAAAAGAGCAGAAAATAGCTGGGACGAATGGAACGGGGTGATGGTTTTCCGATCGCAGATCAGCACTGGAATTGCCGAACTGGGATAACGCTTGCTCGCGAATCAATGCATCTCCTTTTCAGGATGCATTGCGACTTTTCACGGAGAGCATTGCGACGCCACAATGTCGCATGCGGAGTTTCGAGTGCTTTCGTTACACTTGCGACAACTGGTTGCTACACTTGCGAAGAATCGTGTGTGTTGGCCGTCACCTCAACTGCTTCAGGCTGTTTCGGATTCCTACCCATTTATGCAGTTTTACCCAGCAAAACACAATTGTTACTGTAAAGAGATTTCACTTGCAATAACCTATCAATTGCAACAATAGAAAATGATTTGTACCCTCTATTTTCCGGTCATGAACTTCTCCTCGAAGCGCTTATCAGTACAACTAAGAAACTGAGACAAAGACACCCGCCTCTTTGCCTGCTGTTGCTGTGACACGACTTGGCTCTCGAACCCTCTTCCTCTTGGCTCGTCGTTGCCTTGAGATGGTCTTACCAAAAACCCACTAGTCCCCACCTCACCCTCATCTTCTTGCCACTCATCCTCCCCATTCCCCACACCTGCTGGACCCTCCTTCCCCTCCCCGTCTACATGTTCCTCCCGCCTTCCCCTCACCTCATCTCTGTCCGCAGCCCCTTTCTGATTGTTACCCAGCTTTTGAACAGCCAGCACCTTATAGGGCACCAACTCATAGCCCAGCCGCAGCAGCGCCGCATGTCGCATCTTGATTCGCCGATCCAGGTTAAACCCCAGGAATGGAGGGAAGGCAAGCACCTCCATTATAGAGAGCCCCATTTCCCGCTTTAAGTACTCAACCTTGTGCCTCATGTTCACTTCCCAGCTGTAATAAATGCATTGCGGGGACTTCAGTACCAGATTCACCACCAGCTTACATGCCCTCTCTTCAAATACATTCACAGAACCTTCAGCCATGCCCAAAGTACCTTCTTGTTTTCCATTTTGAATCCTGTACTCTCCATCCCCCTCCTTCCCTTCACCAATCCCACGTGCCTCCTGTCCCTCAATCCCACCCTCATCCCCTCCTCCCCTTTCCAACGCCTCCTGAAACTCCCTCAAAAGCTCTCCAAAGTTCTGCTTCATGGTCTCTTCCCCAGAAGTCAGCAGCAGGGGGAATCGCGCCACTGCAAGTGCAGCGTTCTCTGGCCCAATTAAACCGCTCAGAACCGCCAGCTTCCCCTCCAGATTCTCCTTGGAAAGAGTCAGAACCAGCGGATGGCTTCGCACCACCCTCCCTGCTGCCTTCTCCCCCACAAGCTCCACAAAGAACTGGAGCTTAGCTAAGAGATTCTCTGAACCGAGATTTAGGATGGAAGGAGCATGGCGGAGAACAGGGATGGCAATGGAGGGGCTGTCAGGGGGAGTGAAGGACTGGAGGAGGCTGAGGTTGGTAGAGATACGGTCGGAAGAGGAGAGGAGGATTCGTGGGTAGTTCAGGAGAAGCCTCGTCAAGAGGAGCTTTTTGTCCAGGCGTTGCCGATTCAGGTGTTTTTTCGGGTGTTGCTTCAGGTGGCCTGTGCTGCTGGTGGTATCCCCTTCTGTCTCCTTCTCTTCGGATCCATCTGAAAAGTAGTCTGACAGCAGCTTTATTTGATCCTGTATGGATTCTTTGCTTCGACATAAGATGTTCGGGCACCTCTCTATAATCACACCCAGCTTCTCCTCGGGAATCCCTGCTGCCTCCACCAGAATGTCCAGGTTCGTTGAACGAGCATGCGAGCGGATGAGGTACGGCGAACCCCGGATCACCATGCCTAGCTTGCTTCTGCGCACGCCCCGAGCCAGAATAAACTCAATCGTCCCCTGAATTTGCGGAAGGGAGCTTCGGAGCCAAGACGCATTCGTGATGGTGACGTGGACAATGGTGGCCTGGGATATGCCATACGACTGCAATAGCCGGACACGTGGCAGCAGGTCACTGGCCGGATCGGAACGCAGGAGGGCAGGGTGGGAGGCGAGGAGGGAAGCGACCGTGGAAGGGGAGGAGATGCCGAGGTGGGAGGAGAAGAAGCGGTAGAGGGAGAGGAGGGAGGAGAGAGAGGTTGCACGTGCTCCCTTGAGTGGCATTGCAGGTGTGGGAAAAGACGTGGTGCCCAAGTCCTCCTCGCCCAATTCTGCCTTTATGTCGTCCCCCTTCCCTTCGCCGTCCTCCATTTCACTGACCGCTACCTTTTCCTCCTCTTTCACTCTCTCTGCCTCCTCTACCTCCTCTTCCTCCCCTGCCTCCTTAATCTCCTTTTCGTCCTCGCTGCTTCCGCCTCCATCCTCCGCCTCTCTCACAATCTGAGGCCCGAATCTCCCTCTTAACACTCTCGCAATCGTTGCCACTGCCTCCTCTTCATCGCATTTTTCTCCCCCTCTGCTCGTTTTCCCTGCTCTTTTCCCACTCCTCTTATCCCCAAACCTCTTATCCCCGCTTTTCTTATCCCCGCTCCCCGTATTCCCCAGCTCTTCGTCCCTTACTACCCTCACGCTGCTCTCCGCTCCGCCGCCATTGCCCTCCTCATCATCTCCCCCCACTCTACGCGTCTCGATTCCTGTCCGAATTGGCAGCGTCTGCTCGACGTCCACAAACGCGATCTCAGCCGTTGATGTATCTGCTGGTCCGGAGGGTTTTCCAGCATCACACCTGATCGTCAGGCTGTGGTCACGCGTTCGAATCCTGGGAACGGCTTTCGATGGAGGTAGGTTCAGAGATCTGATTGGATCTTTCGAGTTTATACGAGGGCGCTCGCGACCAACATCAGGCTGCACAGCTCTCAATGCGCGAATCGAAACGACTTGAGACGGGAAAAGATACGCCATACAGGTAAATTCCGAACAAAAAAGCTACTGAATAATGTCGGTCAAATCAGAGCGGTCCTGCCTGTGATGCAGTTCGTCAGCCTAATCCTGGCTTCATAATATCGAGATGGGTGGTAGTACCAGATTGGAGTCTCTTTCAACTTCTCTGTGGCTAGAACGTACGCGATATGAGAAAGAGAGGGCTTGGAGATTTAATTATATTTATATTCTTAGTGGCGAATTTGTATTTCCGCACACACACCTCGAGAAGTGTGCTTTCTGAAGCTTGGGAAAAAGTTTGCGACCATGTATCCAAACAACGAAACCATCAAGAGCTGGTAACACGGACGAGAGCTTCAGTGAACATGCGATCATGGAGCATCAAACCGCACATCACTGTACAGTTCGACGCAAAAATGGCAGAGAACCGTACCGCAAGACGGTTTGGCGGGATGCAGGACTGAACTGCACGATTTGGTTCGACTGACACTGTCCCCAGTGCGACCCGAAAAGCTCCAAACAGCAGGAATTTTGGAGAGAATTGCTCCAGGGCCTTGTTTGGTGATTCGCTCTTGCCCACGTGTCCCCGAATTGCTCGCGTGGCCATCCAATTCAGTGGTAATTGCTCGAGTGGCCACGCCAGGGCATTTTCGAGGTGTTTTTTTTCCCCGGCACAATACCCTACAAGGGTTTGTACCCCCGAAATTCCTCGTTCGTACGAGTCTCATCCCGTGGTAGTGTTTCGTACTATTCCCCACCCGAAAATTTTGGGTGAGTGGCGGGCGCGAATGTGGCCCACATGTCAGAATCCCAACAACTTAGACCATTGGGATAAAAGGGCTTGTTTGTGTAGCAGGTTTGTGCGCCCATAACCCCCCAGGCGAACGCGCCTGTAACCCCCCGTAGGATCAATCGGGCATCCGCAGTGCAGATCTACTGACACCCCCCCACACTGGGAGGCCCAGGACAAAGCACAGCGGCAACGGCCTACATGTGCATACACCGGGATTCGAACCCGAGACCGCTCTGATACCATGTCAGAATCCCAACCACTTAGACCATTGGGATAAAGGGGCTTGTTTGTGTAGCGGGTTTGTGCGCCCATAACCCCCCAGGCGAACGTGCCTGTAACCCCCCGTAGGATCAATCGGGCATCCACATTGCAGATCTACGGACACCACACACTGTACACAAAACCGATAAAAATGCACGACCAACAGTAGATGCGCAATCATTTTAGGCCCAATGCGCGACCAATGAGCGCGCGGTCAAACAAATTCGTAACCAATAAACCCTCGATCATAAACCCCAATTGACCAGCATCAAACCGCAACAACCCTAACGACCGCACATGATTCATCAATAATATGCGCGGTGCAATTGTTGGCATTACGCGTCCAATAAGGTGCCATCATTAAGGATTGCGACCATATTTGACCGCGCAAATGAAACTCAATTTACTATATGATCTCGCCAATCATATGTTAGAATCCTAGGCAAAAATGTTGTTAGAATCTTACGGGAGAAGTGGTTTCGACTATCGAGAGGGTTGGTACAAAGTGAAAACCCAAGGGGTTGTACCCCACAGTAAGTACCCCACTAAGCCTACCCAAACTATAACATATATATATACATATGTTTGACACACCCCCATAGGCAAAGTGGGGGAAAACAGAGGGTCACAAGACCAGTCAGGAAGTGCAAAGCAAGCTCAGGGTGGATCACAACGTCACCACGCAGTCTGAGCACAAGCAAGAAGGCCAC